CCCCCCCCCGCCTTTTTCTCTTATATAAAAGCACATGCTAAAAGATCATGTCCACAGTAATCTTGCAGCACTCAGAATGATCACACAAAAACCAGGGAATGTTAGTGCACACAAAAATTAAGCTAAAAAAAAAAAAATCTTTGGAGTTCCAATCACACTGTTAGTATAACAATCCCATAACTGTAAAGACTAGTTATAAGCTTTATAACTGATTACGTCACACAGTGCAAAGTAAGGTCCATTGACCCTTTTATGTAAAGGGTAGGCTCAAACCCACATGGGTAAATTCAATAGATAGTTCTTATATATATGTGACCAGGAATACCCAAACCAGATTTGTGCTCTTAGATGTTCATTCTGAATCACGATGCACTTCTGAAGCATCGGCTCTACAAATTGGGCAGGTACGATTTGCCTGTAAAACCAGAAACAAAAGAGGGTTTACTGTACTGACAAATACACTGTGAAGGTAATGTGTATATTGACACTGACATCTGTGAGTACTGAAAAGCAATTCAAGAGTACTCAAAAAAAGAGAAGACAAAGTGAGCTTAATGCCTTTTTTTTTTTTAGTTTGTTTTGTTATGTTGGAGTGGTGTTGTAAGTTTGCCAATTGAAAATTATGTTTATAAAAAATGTGCCTTTTATCTTTAAAGCAAACCTGCAAACTAGGCTTTATCTAAGTGCTGAAGGTTTTATTAATGCAGCTTCAGTATATTGCAGTTACAGTATACTGCAATCAGATGGATGCAACCAAGAGGCTGTACTGTGTCCTTCAGAGAAACCCACCAGAACCAGACTAGCTACCTTGGCCTGCAAATAAACGTCCTATATAAGAGTATCAGGTTGTCACAAGCTCTACTGATCAGGGATCACATCTCTTTATATTCTGTTCAATTTTATTCTCACAGAACTGCAGAATCAACTAGGTTGCAAAGGACATTGAAGATCATTCAGTACAACTGTTAACGAACACTGACCGTTCCCAACTACACCATATCCCTCAGCGCTACGTCAACCTGACTCTTAAACACCTCCAGGGATGGAGACTCCACCACCTCCCTGGACAGCCCATTCCAACACCCAACAATCCGTTCTGGAAATAAATGTTTCCTAATATCCAATCTAAACCTTCCCTGGCACAACTTGAGGCCATTCCCTCTTGTCCTATTGCTTGTTACTTGGTTAAAGAGACTCATCCCCAGCTCTCTGCAACCTCCTTTCAGGTAGCTGTAGAGGGCCATGAGGTCTCCCCTCAGCCTCCTCCAGACTAAACAACCCCAGTTCCCTCGGCTGCTCCCTGTACGACCTGTGCTCCAGACCCTGCACCAGTTCTGCTGCCCTTCTCTGGACACGCTTGAGTCATTCAATGTCCTTTTTGTAGTGAGGGACCCAACACTGAACACAGGAATCGAGGTGCGACCTCACTAGTGCCGAGTAGAGGGGTGAGATCCCTCCCCTGTCCCTGCTGGCCACGCTATTGCTGACACAAGCCAGGATGCCATTGGCCTTCTTGGCCCCCTGGGCACACTGCTGGCTCCTGTTCAGCCAGCTGTCAATCAGCACCCCCAGGTCCCTCTCTGACTGGCAGCTCTCCAGCCACTACTCCCCAAGCCTGTAGCGCTGCTGAGGGTTTTTGTGGCCCAAGGGCAGCCCACATCATTTGTCCTTATTGAAACTCCTACAGTTGGCCTCAGCCCATGGCTCCAGCCTGTCCAGGTCTCTCTGCAGAGCCTCCCTACCCTTGAGCAGACCAACACTCCCACCCAACTTGGTGTCATATGCAAACTGACTGAAGGTGCACTCGATCCCCTTGTCTAGATCATCAATAAAGATGTTAAATAGGAGTGGCCCCAAAACCGAACCCTGGGGGCCATCACTCGTGACTGTCTGCTAACTGGATTTAACTCCATTCACCACCACTCTTTGGGCCCAGACATCCAGCCATTTTTTTACCCAGCAAAGAGTGCGATCATCCAAGCTTTGAGCAGCCAGTTTTGGCAGAACCCCATCATATAGATGTGGTCAAAGCTGAAAGTGGACTTGGGGAAAAGGGAAGGGGTTGTAGTAAAAGGGTGAGGGGGTGGGGGGAGATGAATGACCTGATGAAACAGGTTTTCAAGTAACACACACAGCCAGGTCTAAATTTAGCCCTTCAATAAAGCACTCACTGAAAGTGTCCTGTGACTCTTATAGCTTCCTTTAAAAGAGAGATGACAAGTAACATTCCTTAAGCTACTGAGAAAGTCTTTCTGTCTTCTCATTTCCCTTTTCAAATAAAGGCTAATTTCATTTTAGCAAATGATGCTACATGTTACATCTATGATAAAATATTTCCTTTGCAGAGCTTGAGTGAAGAGAACTTTTCCCTGCCCCAAATTCTGTATTTTGTAATTGCAAAGTTGCAGGACCAACTACTGCCAATTCCAGGTTTTACTAAGGTAGCCAAATTTCTCAATGAAAATACAAGTGAAAACATAAAGAAATGTGGCTCTGCAGCCCAGAGTTCAGAAATCATTGCCACAGATTACAAATCCAAATGCCAATGAAATCAACATTTTATTATTGAAAACATTACTTAGTAATGCAAGTTAAAGTGAGGGTGTATTTTTTTCTGTCAACTACTACTTTTATTACTATTTTATAGTTTGTATTGTAATTATTATTGCTTTATAGTTTTTATAAAGCACAGACTGGTGATTCAGTTCAAAATATATTACTTGCTTTACCAGTTTTGAAATTACTTGAGAACAATGGAATTACTTGGTCACTACTCTGTATTTGCATTATTCTCGATATAATTCTGCTAATATAATTTTTAAAATAAAAAGGCATGGTCTTCAAAATTCAATGGCTTAATGAATAAAAAAGTATTTGCTTAGATAAATAATGAATACTATCTGTAGCATGTATCAGCATTCAGAGGGAGTAATTTCTTGATAGGAACTGCAGAAATAAATCCACTGTGCCACGATAAAATGCTCATGGATACTGCAAATTTCTTTTTAAGCAACTTTTCAAGATCCCGCATGAACATCTGTTTTAAATTTAGTTGCATTCATGTGCCTTTCACAAAATTAATTCCCCCAATTCATTAAAAGAGCATTTAACATGACTCTTTGGTGTGAAAAAAGGAGTATGATGGACATAATATTGATCTTCTAACCAGCCACTCTATCAGGAGAACCTACCTTTTGTACTGTAATGAAAGAGAGCTGAGAGCTGCACAATGAACTAACAAGATTTTTTATTTTTAATAGAAATTTATAGCTAAAGTGAACTGCATTTAGAATAATGGATCTGTAGGGCTATCAGAATTATCTAAAAAGCACTGCACTGCTTTGGTGTTAGTCCATCAGAATCAAGTTAAAACTATAGTTTCACAGTCTGTCTTTTCTCATCTATAATACTGCATTTCCTATCAGAATATTAAATATAAAGGCAAGTTGTCCTTGTTATCTGTTTCTAAACCTTCAGGGTGAAGAGAGGTCATGTTTTCAGGCTGTCCTTTGGAATGATGTTTTTTACTTTATAAAAGAACAGATTCTCTTTATAAAAGAACAGATTCGTAGTTCACTAAAGGATTTGGGTTATTAAGAAATAATCGAAATATGACAGTTGACGATACTGTAAGAAGCAAAAGGTTAACCTCCCTCTTGTTAATTCTGTTTACTGTACTACATTTTCTCTCTCACGTCTTTAACCCTGTTTAACCAGGGAAATATAAATTAAAGTGGACAAACTAATACACTGTAAAAGAACATTTCCTCTCCTCTCACTTGCTCACACTACCTAAAAAGGTGGTCTATACATAGTATTATACTAGCAAGGCAGATCAAACCTCTCATGAAGACAAGCCACAAAACTTTCTTAGGTAATTTTTTTTTTTCTCCATCATCAACAACAGACAGTGGAATAAGGATTAAAAAAAATAAAATCAGACTATCTCATTTAAATCTTTCACTAACACATAGTGAAACTTAAAAGAATCGTCTTCACTCTATACTTTTAGAAATAGTTCTAGAAATATTCCTAGAGAGCAAATACTTTTTTCAAAGAGAGAAGATTAAATCAGTAAAACAATCAGTAAAACATGGGGACAAACTGGTAATTTATTTCTTTTTTTATCTTGTGAAAAAAAGTTACAAGTACTGAAAGCTACAATTTTTACCTTCCCTTGCAGAATTTATCAACATGATGTTGGTTGGATGATGTGACCAGTGGATGTGGACATAATTATACTTTCAACATATAAAATAAGTTGTCAGATACATAAAAGAATAGACAGAAGCAAAACTATAGCACAAAATATCTTCTAGTTATCCTTACTTGCAGGTGTTTGCTGTGTACCTGTAACCAAGTTTAGACAGATGCTGTAACTAAACTAGGCTGGTGTTACCAGTAATTTGTTATAATTTGCAAAGCAAAATTATCTTTATTTTCATACACCATTTTCATACCAGTGTAACTAAACCCACATGGTGTAAAAATATTGCCTTAGCAATCCTACAATATGATGATTTAACCGTGTCTAGCTTATGTTGCATCAGCTCCGGAATGACAATGTCAATACAAGCAGTTTTAGGTGGGTATAAATGCATCCCATTTAGGTTTACACTGCATATCTTTCACCTCATTCCCCCACCCAGCTGACACTTTCATGCTCATAGATTTTTTCTATTATGAGACAACTTTTAGAAAACACCACAGTTGAAGACTTGTTAGAAAATACATAGTTTCTTAGTTGGGTCATGAACATCAGTAAAAAGCTGTTTCACCACTACTACAGTACATCTACAATGATAAAGATGAAACTAAATCAGCTTTTTTCACTTTGCTGTTCTGAATTCGACTGCCAGTTCATTACCACTTGAAAGTATTAAATCTAACTGTAGAACTGCCACACTGAGTCCCAAAAAAACTTAATTCAACATGCCTGTCTGACTCCGAATTCTTAAGTATGTACTGAAGGACATACTTGAAGGTTCTACTGAAAGTTATGAGGATTGCTGTGCAAACACTTACAGTGGCCTTAGATTTTGTAGAAGCCTTAGACTACCATGGGTACTGTAGCCCAAAAGCAATTTCACATCCCAGTTTTTAAAATCCTTCTCATTAACTTGATATTTTGTTAGCCAAAAGAATGCTGTCAATATTAACTTGATTTTTGAATTCTCTGCACTGAATATTTTCATGTATGCCTAAGGTATGCATTTTATTGCTTTTAAGAAGCCATAAAGGCAAGGGCTTTTAATTTCTTCTTCTGATACAACAGACACGATCTGTAATTCTCTAGGGACTGCATCCTATATTAATATAGGATCACTGCAGTTTCAAATGTTCTGCACAACAGACTACACACAGATTAAACTAAAGCTGAATAGAACAAAATACCAAAAAAGGTGAGGCAAGATGAGGATCAATACCTTGTTGGCAGTATATCTGGCTAATGCAGCTTGTAGATATGTCTCTGTATTGTGATCTACTTATTTGTATCTTCTGTTCTTCAACACCTTCTGTACTACTACTATTTTCTGTCCTCTTACTGGGCTGCCCTGATTCTAGATTCTTTTTTTTTTTCTGATCACATTATGTTGGAAGGGTATATCATATTTTTGTAAAACTATAATTTCTATTCATATATATTATATTTCTATATATGTATATATGCATACACATGTATGTAGACACAGAACACATTTTATTTGCCCCAGAACCTAATGTTAATAACAAAGTGGGAGAGAAGGGTATTCTTGTTATGCAGGATATATAAAATAATTAAAGCTCCCATCATCACAGAAACTTTAATTCATATTTCATATATTATTTTTCCTTTTCGTTTTCAAATCTTCTTTAATTTCATTCAATATCACTTGAATTCACAATCGTTCTTTTGTGCAAATGTAAAACACAGTAAAATCTTTCAATGAAAATAATTATCTTCATATTCATTTTCCCTTGGGCCAAAAACTGTAAAGAAACATTCTTCAATTGCCAGAAAAATATCATGAGTAGGCAGTGCTTCCACTCTGTTGGCATTTTTAGCCTAAGTATTAGAAACATGAAACAAGATGAAATGAAGTGGAACAGCAAATTGTAACCACCCTCTCCCCCCAAACTACATAATGAATTCCCTGTAAGATGGGTATTCTTTTCTCTTTTTTCTTTTTTTTCTGATTACCTTCAGCCATTTATCGACACACTTGGCATGGAACTCGTGGTTACAGGGTAAGACTCTAAGTAGCTGCCTTGACTCAAAATCACACATGCACACCACACACCTGAAAGAGACAACAAAGTTCAAATGTATCTGCTGTGTAAGAACAGTAAATACATATTTCATACAAAATGTTACAAGTATAGCGCTCAGGGATACGGTGTAGTTGAGAACTGTCAATGTCTGGTTAAGTGTTGGACTAGGTGATGAAGCTTCAAGGTCTTTTCCAACCTAGATGATTCTGTGATGACTGCAACATGGTAGCTCTTTTACTCCTTGAGTAGCCTCAGTTATCTGGTTGAAGATGTGTAGTGTGACAACATAAACTTAAAATTCCTTTTGTGTGTGTTGGTTTGTTTTGTTTTTTTTTCCCCCTGTGCTTTCATATCACAAAGTGCTCTGGCTTACAGGAATTAATAGACCCCATCAGTAGAACAGATGTTTAAACAAACTTCAAAATGGTGGAGATAGTGTCTATAAAGTTCACTCCCTACTGATACCAGTAAGTCACACTAAGTGTCACTGAAACTGGAATATCAGAGAAAAATCCTTATGTTGAAGATTAAACATCAGACAGCATTTGGTATTAAGTCACTTCAACTACCTATCTATATTGCCATTTCCACTTGATTGTACAGATCTTTCAAAAACAGTAAGTCAATGGATTTTAAAAATAAGAAGGTTCACTCTTAAACCATTGACCAAGCTCTACCAGGAGGAGCACCTGAAATTTCAACACTTGAAGCTATTTTAACACAGGCTAAATTCCACATTGACAATCTCAATGTACACTGAACAAAACCTAGAACACCTTCCTTCCATTTTAATTTTTTAAATACTGAAAAAATTAATTGAAACATAGCTAAATGACGTGAAGCTAGACAGAGGTTTTAAAGTAAGGATAAATAGCACTTGGTATGTGAGATAGTTTAGGCCTTGCTAGGACCGGAGACCATGTTGCCGTTGTCCCTCCTCCACCCTCAGACCAAGTAGGACACAAACCCCAGGGTTAAAACAAGGAGAAATTTAATACAATAGTGTAATAAACAATCTGAACAACAACAATAGCAATAATAACAATAAATAGTAGTAACAGTAAACAAGACAAAAGATATACAGAGAAATACCGCAGTGAACACAGCCAGCCCACCACGCGTGCTTCCTGTGACAAAAGCCACAAAAGAAAGCTTCCCATGTTGGACCTGACATCAGCATGGTATGAATAACCCAGTTGGAGATCCCTTCCACCTGCTTGGGAGAAACTTAACCCTATCCTAGCTGAAACAGGACATAATCCACCCCTTTATTCTATACCGTCTGCGTCATGTCCAGCTGCCATTTAGCAGTTAACAATAACAAAAAAACAGTTTATAAAGGCACAGCATAATTCATGGCATGTTCTCACCCAGAATCAAGTCCCACTGTGGTACACATCAGACCTCTCCATTGTCCTGTATCACCCACCAGGTACACCGAGGTCCTTGGGCAAAAGCAATCCCGTGGATGGGTTTGCCTTTAACTTTGCCTGGCGCAGGACTAACCCAGACCATTTTTCACAATATATTCCTCATGCATACTCCAGGGACTTTATCCCCATTTACAGCACGTGGAGGTTTTGACTGAGCAGGGCCAGCTCGACTGGCAGATCCTCTTGTGTTGACTAGGCAGGTGGCCTTTGCTAGATGCATGTCCCAGTCTTTGAAGGTCCCACCTCCCAGTGCTTTCAGCGTGGTTTTTAACAGTCCATTGTAGCGCTCAATCTTCCCAGAGGCTGGTGTGTGGTAGAGGATATGGTAGACCCACTCGATGCCGTGTTCCTCTGCCCAGGCATTTATGACGTTGTTTCAGAAGTGGGTCCCACTGTCTGACTCAACTCTCTCTGGGGTACCGTGTCACCACAGGACTTGGGTCTCAAGGCCCAGGATAGTGTTTTGGGCGGTGGCGTGGGGCTCTGAGTAAGTTGCCAGCCATCCTGTGGTTACTTCCACCATTGTGAGCACGTGGTGCTTCCTGTGGAGGGCCTGTGGCAGTGTGATGTAGTCGATCTGCCAGGCCTCTCCATATCTATATTTCAGCCATTGCTCTCCATTTCGCTGGGGCTTCACCCCCTTGGCATGTTTGATTGCAGCACATGTCTCACATCCGTGGACGATCTCTGCGATGGTGTCAATTGTCAATGGTGAGGTCCACCCCTCAATCTCGAGACCACCTGTATGTTGCATCTCTACCTTGGTGGCCCGAGGTTTCATGGGCCCACCGACCTATGAACAGTTCACCTTTGTGCTGCCAGTCCAAGTCCACCTGAGCCACTCTAATCTTAGCAGCTTGGTCTGCCTACTGGTTGTGTCGATGTTCATCAGTGGCCCGACACTTGGGTAGATGGGCATCCACGTGGCGCACCTTCACAACGAGGTTTTCCACACGGGCTGCAATGTCATGCCATAGTTCCGCAGCCCACACCATTTTATCTTTACGTTACAAGTTATTCTGCTTCGATTGCTGCAACAGTTTTCACAGGGTATTCGCCACTGCCCATGAGTAGGTGTAGGGGTAGAGCCTTGTCCACTTTTCCCGCTCAGCAGTATCCAAAGCAAGCTGGACGGCTTTCACCTCTGCAAACTGGCTCGATTCACCCTGTCCCTCAGCAGCTTCAGTGACCCGTCGTGTGAGATTCCATACGGCAGATTTCTATTGTCAATGTCTTCCCACAATGCGACAAGACCCATCAGTTAACAGGGTATATAGCTTCTCCTCATCTGGCAGCTTATATGGTGGGGCCTCCTCAGCACGTGTCACCTCCTGTTCTGGTGATATCCCGGAATCTTTGCTCTCTGGCCCATTCATAATCACCTCTATTATACCTGGGCGGCTGGGGTTCCCTATTTGAGCGCGTTGTGTTATCAATGCAACCCATTTATTCCACGTGGCATCTGCTGTATGATGTGGGGAGGAAGCCTTTCCTTTGAACATCCAGCCCAGCACTGGCAGTCGGGGTGCCAGGAGGAGCTGTGTTTCAGTGCCGCCCAATTCTGAGGCAGCCCAAATTCCTTTGTACGCTGCCAGTATCTCCTTCTCAGTTGGTGTCTAATTAGTTTCAGAGCCTTTGTATCTCTGGCTCCAAAAGCCTAGAGGTTGGCCTCGGGTTTTCCCAGGTGCTCTCTGCCAGAGGCACCAGGTAGGGCCACTCTCCCCGGCTGCAGTGTAGAGCATGTTCTTAAACTCCTGCCTTTCCTGGACTGGACCGAGGGCTACTGCCTGGGCAATCTCCCATTTAATTTGTTCAAAGGATTGTTGTTGCTCAGGGCCCCATTCAAAATCGTTCTTCTTGCGGGTTACGTGGTAGAGAGGGTTCACAATCAGGCTGTAGTTTGGAATCTGCATCCTCCAGAACCCAACAGCATCCAGGAAAGACTGAGTCTCCCTTTTAGAGGTTAGTGGGGCCATCGCTGTTATATTATTACCTCCACTGGGATCTGGCAATGCTCATCTTGTAGTTTTATTTCTAGGAATTGAATTTCCAGTGCAGGCCCCTTAACTTTCTTTTGCTTAATGGCAAAACTGGCCTTCAGGAGGATTTCAATTCTGTTCTTTTCTTTTCTCAAAGACTTCCTCGGCTGTGTTCCCCCATACAATGATGTCACTAATGTACTGCAGGTGTTCTGGAGCCCCACCTTTCTCCAGTGCAGTATGGACCAGTCCATGGCAAATGGTGGAGCTGTGGTTCTACCCCTGGGGCAATCGATACCAGGTGTACTCGATGCCTCTCCAAGTGAACGCAAACTGTGGCCTGCACTCTGGCGCTATTGGAATGGAGAAAAACGTGTTAGCCATGTCAATTGTGGCGTACCACTTGGCTGCCTTCGACTCCAGTTCATACTGGAGTTCGAGCATATCCGGCACTGCAGCACTCATTGCTGGTGTAACTTCACTGAGGCCACAGTAGTCCACAGTTAGCCTTCATTCACCATTAGGCTTTCTCATGGGCCATATAGGCTGTTGAAGGGTGAGTGAGTTTTGCTGATCACCTTCTGGCTTTCTAGTTGACGGATCAGCTGATGGATGGGGACTAGGGAATCTCGGTGGGTGCGGTACTGCCGCCGATGCACTGTCCTGGTAGCAATCGGTACTCGCTGCTCCTCAACCTTAAGCCACCCCACTACTGAGGGATCCTCTGAAAGGCAGGGTAAGGTTCAACCTCCTGCAGGGCAGCTACACCAAAAGCCCACTGGTACCCTTTTGGGTCTTTGAAGAGCCCTCTCCTGAGACAGTCTATGCCCAGGATGCACGGGGCATCTGGGCCAGTCACAATGGGGTGCTTATGCCAGTCCTTCCCAGTCAGGCTCACTTCAGCTTCCAATAGGGTCAGCTGTTGGGATCCCCCTGTCACTCCAGAGATGCAGATGGATTCAACCCCTCTGTAGCTCGATGGCATCAGGGTGCACTGTGCGCCAGTGTCCACCAATGCCTTATATTCTTGTGGGTCTGACATGCCAGGCCATCGGATCCACACTGTCCAGTAAATCCGATTATCCCTTTCCTCCACCTGGCCGGGGGCAGGGCCCCTCTAATCCTCCTCATCATCACTCACTTCTTGAAAGAATGATTTACTGGTCCCCTCAAGAGGGTCAGACATAATGTTGGTAATTCTATTCTGCCTGGGGGATTTCTGACTGGACACTGGAGCTGTGCTTCTCTTGGAGGACTCCCGTTTTGTGATGGTCTTCCCTTTCAGCTGCTCTACTCATGCAGCTAGGGCAGCAGTGGGCTGTCCATCCCACCTCCTCATGTTTTCTCCATGGTTGCACATAAAGAACCACAGGGTGCCCCCGTGGTGTGTCCCTTCTACTGCCTTTCTCTTGGGTGAGGAAACATTTACTTCTAATGCATGAGACATCAGCCTGTGCAGGTAGAAAGTAGGACATGTCCTCTCCCATTTTCTGGACCCTCTGAGACACTTTCTCCACAGCTGAGACTCAGGAATGTTGAGATGAGGGGAGATTTCCCTCATATTACCGGAGGTTGCCAACCACTTCATCTGCTCTTAGAGTGTGGGTGTCTGTCCACCAGGACACTATTGCCAATGCTTTCGAGTGTGCTTCTGGTACGTTCTTCAGGAACTTTTGCCAACATCAGGTGTGTGCAAGGGATCTAATCTGTGTCCATGGGTGACTGCTCATCATTCAGATCACCATAGATCATCTCAAACACAGCAAGTTCCCTGAGATTCTGAATGCCTTTCTCAATGGTGGTCCATTTGCTTAGCTGACCTAGGATATCATCGTTGTAGGGGTACCTCTCCCTTTCACTGAGCAGGATTTGCTTCCAAAGGCTGAGGGTATGAGTGTTTCCCTATTTCCCTATCAATGCCAAATCCCAGCTGCTTGGCCTCTCTCCCCTCCATTTCAAAAGCACTGGCTCCATTGTCCAGGCATCGGAGCAGCGAGGTATAAATCTGCTCACCTCCCAGGTGGCCAAAATCTCTCCACATATCCCGCAAATCAGTTGGGGATAGAGATTGGACAATCACCACTGGCCCTGCCTCCTGTTCCCATGCTGGGCCTGGCTCATCCCCATCCCCCACTTTGCAAGCTGACTTTCTGGTATATTTGGTTTTCTGTATCGGTGCGACTGATACTGGCACTGGCTGTCTCTCTGGCTCAGCTTCTGTGCTGGTGGAGGCGAATGATACTGACTCTACCTATTCCCCCAGCCCAGATACTGTACCAGTAAGCTCACTCTCAGATCCTGAAGCCCTTTCTCCCGCTTGAGCACAGTGAGTAATGTTAAAAAAGGACACTGTAGGCAAGGGCAAGTCCCCAGCACACTGCACTGATTTGTGTCTCCTGGGTTTTGTCAGATTAACAACACACCCTTTCTAAGCACTCCATCAGTTTATCAGGGCTCTGCATTTGTTCGGGAGTAAAATTCCAAAGCACTGGAGGTGACCACTAACCAAGGCATCTGCCCATCTTTTCCAACACAGCTTGCTACTCACTATTATCTGAACTTGGGGCAGGTTTCAATGTACTGCTATTGTTAGAGAAGTGCCGCATGGCCTTAAACAAGTTCTGGCAGACACCCAGCAACCATTGTGCCGCAAATACACTGGCTCGCAGGCTCCAAGGGTAATTGAAACTCTCAAAAAACGAGAGGATCTCTTCCCCTGGCTCACCCATAGAGGGGGTGAGACCCCTAACAAAAGCCCAGGCAATAAACAGATACCGGCCCGCCGCTACACACAGTTATACAAACAGTGATATAAGCATTCAGTAGCCAGTAGAGAAAAAGAGACCCTTTATACCTTTTTGATTGACAACAAATACCAGCACTGGGACCATAGGGCTGGATATAAGGGTTAATCCAGCCCCACCATGCAAGCAAGTGGGCCAGCATTGCAAACATTTTCTTATCAAACAGTTCAAGTACAGAGAAAACTGCACTCAACAGATTGCTCCAACACACTCTGGTCAGGGTCTGTCCCTTTTTTGAACCTTATTTCAACCCTCTTGTGCTCCACGTTGGTACACCAAAGGAGGCTGTGCTTGTTTAAGCCCTGCTCGGACTGGAGACCACGTTGGCATTTTCCCTCCCCCACCCTCAGATGGAATAGGGCATAAACCCTGGGGTTAAAGTAAGAAGAAATTTAATACAACAGTGTAATAAACAATCTGAACAACAACAATAGCAATAATAACAACAACAAACAGTAATAACAGTAAACAAGATAAAAGATATAGAGAAATACCGCAGTGAACACAGCCAACCCACTGCGCATGCTTCCCGCGACAAAAGTCACAAAGGAAAGCTTCCCACGCAACCACACCGGACCTGACGCAACCACACCGGACCTGACGGTCAGCATTGTATGAATAACCCAGTTGGAGAGCCCTTCCCCCTGCCTGGGAGAAACTTAACCCTATCCTAGCTGAACCAGGACAATCTGGAAAATAATCTAAGAAAAAAAAAAATTAAACTGTTTATTGGCATGACTGCTTTTAAAGCCCTTCTAGACTAGCTGAGGCTGTAACTTAAAGAAATGAAAATATATCACTTAAACTATGGACCCTTGAAAGAGACCAATGTACTTACAATGTCTGTTCTGATTGGTGGTTGTTTGGATTGAACCTGTAGGATGGAAGCTGTTCAATGTCTGTCTTTGTCAATCCTCGTGGTTTGGCTTCTCCCAGACGTTCTGCCAAATTCAGCAGTGCCTGCAAAACATGGAAATTGGACATTTAAAAATTCACTGCTCAAACAAGCTCTGATTCCACTAGAGGTTGGTCTGCTATTACAACTCACTAGCTCAGTCACCAACACAAAATACCCTTCTATCAAGAAATGTTTAGAAGCTTAGCTCTTCCCGACAAGACAAACCCCATGGAAATTCTTTTAGAATTCAATCATCTTTCTAGTTATGTAAGATGTTCTCTCTGGGATTTCAAAACCTCCAGGTCCCAACTTCCAATTAGTCCTGTGGCCGTATGCACAGCTTGTAAGTATTCTACTTCTGAATATACCCTTACATCATTAATAGTACTGGTAATTGAAAAAAAAAATCACCAACAAATTTGCTTCTTAAGATTATGTAAGCCTGGACATGTGAGAGAAACCAAGAATTTAATGGGACAGGTTCTGACTTTCACTTCACACTCTTGGGTTAGCTGAAGTGAAATATGGAGATTTGATCCTGAATCTGGAAAACAAATACATACCATCAAATTTTAAGCATTTTTTTTGCTAAATTTTATGCTCATTTTCTATAAGCCAAGTACTACAACTAAAAGCCTCTTGCATAAATAATTTGCACTCTGTCCTGTACCTAACTTGAACTCATTCACAATGGACCTAGAAAAAATATCACTGTAAATGTGATGGAGAATCAAGGCATAGAGAAGTTTAAAGACTTGGTAAAAGCTGCAAATGGTACTGATCATAAAGACATTTCTATTACTGTCAAACCTGGGGCCCAAATTTTCAGAAATAAGATGATGCTTCTGAACTACCACAGAAGTTATTACAGAAGTGCTCATTGTTAAACTGAAAATGTGCAACTGAAAATGAGCTCTTAAGGCGAGCACAGGCAAAGAGGTGCAAAAGTTAGGGTTGATGATTGTGTGAAGAAAAATCAAATGGAATCCAACAGTCTCAGAACCAGCAAAGACACAACAGCTGGGACTGCCCCATAATTACCTAGAATATTAAAGAGGGTTCTACATTTACAGATGTGAATTACTGTACCCTCCTGAGGGCCAAGAAGAAAAATCAGTGAGGCAGTTTCATAAACATTAAATTGAGATGAATTAATTCTATGACGTTAACACTGTTCTGCACTAGCACTGTTGTGCACTAGCACTGTTCTGCAAAGTTACGCACACGAGTAACTTACTCTCTTCTTTTGAAAGTGCTTCACTTTGGTTTGATATTTAAAATCAATCAAAATTCAAAAGGAGAAGAATAGTATGTAGAACACAAAAGCTGAACAATTTAGCGATTACTAGCCTGGAAGGGTGGATTCTTGTAAAGAACAATAGGCAAAAAATAAAACTAAGCACTTGTAATACCCAGTATTGAAAAAAAATCCGAAAGAACGGTTTCTGGATACTGTTTTCACAGTCATTACATTTACTTGGAAGGCAAAAGCAGGATTAAAAGCAAAATATAATACAATTTTATGTATTTCTTGAGCTAACATCTGTTCTTTAAAGGCAGCTGTAGTTCACACACCAACCTCATAGTTTTCTACCTCTCCATCTTCCACATCCAACTCAAAGCTGAAAGCTGGTCCAACTGCAGGTGGCACTGGGAGCATTGATCTACCATGAGAGCAAACAATGATAAGGTTCAGCATCTTGCTGAAGGAAAGCACAGGAATATCTGGCAGAGGTAAAGTTACCTTATTGATCCCTCTCAAATCAACAAGTTCTCAGAACTGGTAAAAATGTTAAATCTGAAGTTAAGAATAGACAGTTGAAGTGCAAGAGTCAAAGGAAAAAGCTAATTCTGACACTTTTTGATACTGGGAGTGCTGCCTTTTTAATTGCATGCATGTCTCAACTGATACTTCTAACCAGGCTCAGCATTATTACAGAAACTAATCTCTTGATTATCACAGATTATGGAGAGTCAAAACTGACAGTGAGTTGATGTTCTGTTTTCTAAATGTTTTATTTCGTTAAGTGGATAAAGTACCAACAAAGAAAAGGAACCCTAAGTTCACTTAGGTCTCCAATACAAAAGCCTTGAAACTTTTGTAAGCCTAAAACACACAATGAAGGTAAATAGGATATGCTACTGGATCAACTTCCATACTGAAGGCAAGCACAAACTCTCTCACATACTGTGATGAGTCTCTTCAGATAGAGAGGCAAGAGACACGTTTTTCTCGTTTTCAGCAAGTGTTTTCACCCCTCAAGATAGTACTACAGGTTAAAAATTTAATACATAGAAATCACAAATTTACAGCACTGAAGTATACTAAAATCCTACTGAAGTCAACAGGATTTACTATGCTACATCATGTCCTCAATGGATGGTCAAGAAGCTATGACATCACACTCAGATTCTAAGATGCAAAGTTGGACAACTTCACCGGATCAGATTTCTGGTGCCATTTTCATGCCATGTCTGAAATTGCACAGAGAGAGACTACAAATCTGGTGTCAACATTGGATTATTTCTTTGTCAGTGTCACCTTTGCCACCAGAAAATAATCTTTGCTTTCCAAACATCTCATACTTATTTCCAAAACAGAACACAGAAGAGTAATAAATCTCACCTCATACACCCAGACTCCCCCACAGAGAGTCTACCCTAACACACTACAGATAATTCCTAAATGTTAGTTGTCCACATCTTTTCCAGAAACAACTCAGAGGCAGAATGGAAACTGAACAGCTCTAACAGATTAGCAGTTCAGCCAACAGAGTAACACATCACAGAAAGCTCCCACCTTTGTGTTTCATAATTAAGAACCACAACAAATTAATTTATTCTGTAAGTGAAGACTCCTAGGGCTTTATCTTACGGTGTAACCATGGCTCTGTAAGAATATCCAAGAACTAAGTTTTAAAATCTCTTGAAGATTTTATGAAGAGTTCAGAAACAAGAGGCTACTGTATCTCAAAAAACCTACGCTGGACAAAACTGTTTACTTAGATTTTTCCTTACACAGGGGTGTATGTTTTTCAAAATAAGCTGAAAAACTTACACATAAACGGAAGCTTTCCTTCTCTCTGGGACAGCTGAACCTGCCTATTCTCTGTTAGAGTCAACCATAAAGTGCCGAGACTCTTGTTGAAACTCATGTGACTTTTTAATGGCCTACATGGAAGCAAACATATTTTGAACTTACAGCACATAAGGTAATAGGCTGGGATGGTAAGGGTGTGGAGGTATTGGCTGCTGTGATCTGTATCGGCTGCGCCCTGTGAGTCTTCGAGGCATAAAAGGTGGGTAAGGCTGCAAGAAAGAAGAAAATAAGCTGCAACTGGATCTTGTGGACCTGGAACTTGTGTCTGGTTCTGGGCCCTCCAGCACAACACAAGCATGGACATACTAGAGAAAGTCTGACAAAGAGACACTAAGATGGGACTGGAGCATGTCACATATGAGGAAAGACAGAGAGCTGGGAATGATCAGTCTGACAAAGAGAAGGCTCAGCGGGATCTTATCAGTGTGTATCAGTACTGAAGGGAGTGTGCAAAGATGACAGAGACAGGCTCTTTTCAGTGGTGCCCAGTGACAGGAGAAGAGGCAATGGGCACAAACTGAAACACAGGAGGCTCCATTTGAACATGAGGAAACACTTCTTTACTCTGTGAGGGTCACTGAGCACTGGCACAGGTTGCTCAGAAAGGCGGTGGAGTCTCCCTCCTTTGTGATATTCAGGAGCTGACTAGACATGATCCTGGGCAATAGGCTTTAGGTGGCCCTGCTTGAGCAGGGAGGTTGGACCAGATGACCTCCCTTCCAACCTCATCCATCCTGTGATTCAACATTTTTTCTTAATCATGAAATAAAATGAAATTTTAATATTAAAATCCACTTTCAATAAAACATTATTAAAAAAAAATCCAGCCTCTGCTCAAATCCAAAGAACCTCAGCCTCAATTTTAAATGATTCCCATACCATTGATAACATCATAGCATCGCATATGAAAAAACAATAACACAAAACAGAAATCTTTGCAAGTTCTTGTGTGCTCAGTCTACACGCAGGCTAGCTCAGGAAACAGGAATTGAACTGCTGACTCTCTTGTAAATAAAAAAGCCCAGGCTTTAGACCTGGTGCTATCACACAGGCTTGCACACAAGTGGTTGAGTAAAGAAGCCTTTGAAAAAAAAAAACAAACCCTAACTCAAATCTCTAAAAAAATTATTTTTTTAAAAAAAGCTCTTAAAATGCACCCCCACTTTTAAGCAGTGGTGTATATTCACATTTATGTTAAAGAAGGGTTGAAGACTTTCAACTGCACCTGTAGAGTTTACTCAGCCCAATTTTTGCAGCTGGACAAAGCTTAAAGCTTCAATGTATTCTTTTCATGGATAAATCAGGCCTTTTGGCCATACTTATTATCATTTTCATGCTAAGCTCTTTACTTTTAGATTTAAGTTTTCATCTTAATTGCTCAAAATTCCTTGCATTACCTACTAAAATGGGGACATACATGGTAAAGATTTTCCACTTAAATGCATTTTCCCAGAAATATTCAAAGTACTAAAAAAGTACCACTATTAAATTCATAATTGAAGGCCTTGAGACTTTTTTTTTGAAACAAAGAACACCCAAAGTCTTTCGTAACACGTTTTTCTTTTTCCATGTTTGAAATTCAAGAAAATGCAAAAGCTCACCACCACCAATGACTAACTAACCTAAAATAACCTAACTTTATATGGAAACATTATTAATAGATAGTCATGGTCACACATAAAATTTACCCACAAACTTAAACACAAAGAAAAAGAGCCAGAGCCATTTTCTTGAAAGTAGTATCTCAAACTTGACATAGCAAATAGTAATTTTACTGCTTTGTGAATTCTGCAACCCAGCAATATATTTATAAACTGTTGTGTTCACTGAAAGGGAACCAGAAATACATAGTAATTTTAATATAAATAAAATTTTATACGGATTTAGGATTGCCTTATAAAAGACCATACTTGTAATACACCTCTATTCTACTCGTCACAACCCAGAACTGAAGCATGAACAAATGCTATCTAATGTGCAAAAAATTGTATTTTGTTCCTTATTTACTTTAAAGACTCAACTTGGAAATCAAGAAAGCCTCACTCCAACCAAAATATTTATGATTAGACTGCAGTTCATCTAACAAGCATACTGAATAAAATACAAGCACTTTATGAAGTTTTCAAGTGATTTTTTTCCTCCAGGTTGACTCATAGTTACTGAAAACTTCACTGAAAATTTGTACACCTTTAGTTTAGCGAGCTGAATGTTGTTTTTTTTTTTTCTTTTTAAATTATGAAGACTTATTTGAAACTTTATAAAAACTGCAGCAAGCAACACAACTAGGTTGTGTGATTTCAAGGAGACTAATTAAAGAGAAGCTATCTGTATATTCTGTAGTCACATGACCTAAAATGTCTTTCTCATTTAAAATGTTAATTAACAATACACTCCTCAAACCTTCTGTCAACTTGATGCACAAGTCAGACATTAAAAAAAAATAAAAATCAGAGACTATACTTGTCTTCTAGTTATTTTTTCAAGCATTACACTGGCAGGAGTTTTTTTTTAAAAATCAACTCACACAATCCAACACCACCACCCACCTCAGAACTAATATAATTGCAGGTTGAAGTGCACCACAAAGATCCTAGAGGTAGCACAGATACTGGACGCACCACAGAAGCCCAAAATTCAGCACAGACTTTATCCTGCACCAAGTTTGAGTTTTTTTGTGCAGGTGAACTGCCTGTAGATCCCCAGAAAGTTGGCTTAAAGCAAGCCTGGCTGTCTTTATAACACAGTGCAGTCTAAATTATGGTAGCACTCTATACAACTGCTTGCTTGCAAATCGCAAACACTCTGGAGAAGAACTATTTTTAAATCATTCTAGCTTTGCTGACTTGTGGAACCTCAACATACAATGAAGAATTAGCCAAAAGTGACAGAAGCTTTTCTAAACTTTATTAATTAAGTTTCTGCAATAGAAGTCCTGGACTATGTGTGGCAATATGGAATGTTTTCTAAGTAACTGCTACAACACTTTGCAGATGTTATCAGAAATCATTTGATAGTATCATTAAGTTACCCTTAACTTGATTAAAGCAAGCTTAAAGAAAATACCATGGTATGTAGCTATAGCCAATAATGGAATACAATTGCAAGAAGTGCAACTTCTCAACAAAATGTACTATAGAATAAAGATCAAGAATGTTAATGCAGCATGAACGAGAATGAAGTACAAAAAACAATACTTACTACACCAAATGACACCTCCTGGTGTAAAGGATCGTGGGTTAAGAATTGAAGAGGAGCTGAGGGAGGCAATGCTGGTGGATGGGCTGAGGGAGGGTATGTAAAACCTCCTACGGGCAGATGTTCTCCAAGCAGTTCTACTTCATTTTCTATCCTTTGAAGTGGCTAAAAAAGAAATAGGCTTTGTTGCAGAAATATAGATACTATTTTTCCCCAATAAAGAACTGCCATTCCAGCTGTATATTCTGAGCTGCTGTGGTCAATTTTATAGGGTAAAAAAAAAAAAAAAAAAAAAAAAAAAAAAAAAAAACTCTGTGAACAATTCCTATGTCATTAACACTACCAAAAAGCAAAGACAACACTACACATTTGATGCAAATTCACCTTTTCCAGCTAGCCATGCTTATAGACCAGGAATTTATGCAATCTAGCAAATATAGGAGTGGCGGTAATTTCCTGTGTCTTGCATTTTTCAGGACAAATATTTCCTCTCCTCCTTGCCAGGCTGCTCTCACTGTACAACTATGCGAGGAAAAAAAAAAACCAAACAACCATAGACAAGAACTGAAATTGTGCTAGAAAATCTGAAAAGTGGAGAGGAAACATGGCAACTCCAGTGGATTAAGCTGCTAATGATATTCAGTAATCAAGCAGATGCTTTCCTAGGAGGGTCATGCAAAGCAGTCCTACTAAGTACACATAGTCCAGAGGTTTCAGAAGCATGAGATTCCAGCTCAGTATTGTAATATAGTCAACTGTAGTACATCAGTCTACTGACTGTATAGTCAGACAAGAAATGCTCAAGAAATAACCAGTAATTTACAGTTTCATTAATACACCTTTCTGTTCCTAACACCGGATTCCACAATCTCAAGAAATTCAGCTAAGAAAGCTACCTGGTGGAACCAAAATAATATTCTGTTTCCCTGTTATGCAGAGCAAAATTTCAACACAAGGTATTCTTAAATCACAAATATACAAGCTTTTTGGCAGAGCTGAAAGTTGACAGCCAAGCCTCAACATTAACTTAAGTTAGAAATCCAAGCTAAAACCTAAATCCATACATTTTCTAAAGCAAAGTCATATAAAGGTTACCACTGAAAACCACACTTTCCCAGCTGTTCTCCCATCATCACAACAAAGTAAATACTACCCTATCCACACCTGAGATGTGGCATGGAGAAGTCTCAGCAGTGTTTTTAAGTAAAAATGAAGCTGTTTTCTGTTTCTGCATTAGTGAAATACTGGCATATTCCAGTCAGAGGGGCAAACAAAGGGACACAAGTATACAGAGTACCCCACAGTAAGAGCTATAGGCCAGAACTGAAAACCGGATTTTCACTCAAATCCAAACCAGGGTCATATTTTCCAATGTTTGCATAGTTCCTATCACTAAGCCAATTCTGATTAAGCAGAAAGCATCAATAATTTTCTTAAGTGAGGGGAAAAAAAAAAAAAAAGAGAGAAAGGAAGACTGTAGGTTCCTGAATATGTCTGGATGACCTAAGGTCATTATGTTCTAGGAAAAGTACTGGTGATTTAAAATTTAACTGAGAGGTAATACAAAAGAATCATGTAATGAAAGTAACATTCTGTCCTTTCTTCTCTGTCTGCTAAGTTTTCCTCTGAGATCACTACTACACTACACAACTTCCTCTGGATTCTCTTCTGTTTCCTGGAAGAGAAATAGCCGAAGGTATAGTTGGTAAAGTAAATATGCACCTTTTTGACAGAAATAAAGGCCTATGGAGAAACAGCACAGACAACAGCTGATGAAGAGAAACATGGCAAACTTTAGAATTATTTTATCATCTTTATGCTAAGTAGTTAGAGACTTGCTACAGGAGCATAAAGGCAAAAACCTGGTTACTTTAAAACCAAATCCTTCTGTCTCCTCAATCAGATATCAGCACTATTTGCCCATCCAGCCCTACCAACTCTATGGAGAAGGGGTTAAGAAGCATCACTTACCGACCGTGACTGCTGTGCTTGGAAAGGAACGAATTGTCCTGGAGGAGGCAAGTGAGAAGGGTGGTGTGGAGAGATATGAGGAGGATGCAAAAGGAATGGGTCACTAGAAATGAGAGGTGGAAATGCTGCATACGGTACAGGTAGGTGCTGGACTGAGCATGCCTGAAGCATCTGAAATAAAATGAAAAGAACACATTTTTGAATCTAGTGTAAACACTCCATATAGGAGATTCTATATTTATTATGGAAAGATATCAGTAAAACAAATTCGTTCTCTTGCCTCCTTGGAAAGGCATCCAAAACACACATAAGTAACTCATTCAAATACACAAGGAAGAGTGATTAATACAGAACAGGCTCTGTAAGTACCATAGTGTAACATCTGCTAGGTGCAAAGTATTTCTTACTTCTCATAAGGGCAGTGGGAGTTAGGGTTTTCATTACTCCACAATTAGACTCCTAAGAAATGAGCAATTACATTATCCTAGCTAATTTTATTTTCCCCACATATTACCTTCAAAAGGGCAACTTTAAGATCTAGATGGAACCAAGGGACTCCCAGCTGTCAGACTGCCTTAAAACCTCTGCTGCTTCATATACTAAGAATAATTCAAAAGCTCTGCTCAGTTTTGCACTCTGAGGGGAGCCCCACGCTCTAACGGAAGCTCCTTAAGTGACAGCTACTGTGGAAAATAGCCCTTTTTTCCCTTCTCTTTGAAATTTCTCACACAAAAGCAACTTTGAGCATTAATGATTGATCAGTAAAGTGATGAAGGCACTGCAAAGGAGCAGGAATATGCTTTGCAGAAGTGTTCAGATATGAAGAAGCAAGAAAACCTGCATTCTCTTTTGCTTGACCTTTATTTAGTCTGTCATCAGAATTTCAGGGACTTCCGTTACATTTTTTCAGAATTAAAAAAGCAATTAATAAGATACTTACCAAATCTTACAAAGAAAGAGAACCCAGTTCTGGTCTCACTTTTTTTTTATTTTCAGTCATGTCACACAACATATATTGTGCATACTGACTATAACGGCATAAAATAGTAAAGAGATCTACTTTAAAATCAGATTACAGTAGTGGAGGTGGAACTATCGATTTACTGTGAACATAACCAAATATAAATCTTTACATGCACTGGAACAGTAGCAGATTAATCTGATCTATTATTTTTTTCTCTGATACTGACTGTTCTTCACCCTCAGCTACTACGTAATTTTTCTAGAAAAGGAATACAACGGGTGTTTCCATTGTTAAAATACATTTTTATTATATTAAATTGAAAATTGTTCTCTGAAATAGTTGAAGACATATTTGGGTAGAACATCACACAGTGTTCTTTAAAACCACAGGTACTTTGGGGAACATATTAAAATAGGTTTCATCTCAAGATTCTGTATAATATTACCATACAGTGTATGTTTGGAACAATCTGTGCTATGCCCATGGCATTTTTTAAGTTAGAGCAACTGGGGCTGCATTATTTTTCAAGTGGAAAGAAATGAAGACTATCTATTCATTCAGGCTCTTAGAAAACTTCTGCTGTTAGAACATATGCTTCCATGAAGTTCTAAAATTTATAAAGGTATTTCATAAGTGACATTCGCTTAATTTACATATGCAGTGAGAGAGGCAAACATTGTGAAAATAACAAAAGGTTACTGGGAAGTTCACAGATGAAGCTGGTGAGCAAGCTGACATGCTGGAGGGCAGGGCTACCTTTCAGATGTACTTTTATAGGCTGGAGAAATTGGCTGACAGGAACCACGTGAAGTTCAAAGGCAAATGTGAAGTCTGGCACTTGGACAGAATAACTCCATGCAGCAGGATATTTTAAGACTGACTGGTTGGTGAGCACATTGGCAGAAAAAAAAAAAAAAAAGGTTGGGTTCTGCTGGAAATGTCAAATGCAACTACACAAGAACTACAGTGCACTCCTGCAGTCAAAAAGGCCCCACTGCATGCTGGGCTGCATAAATAAGAATGTAACTAGTGGGTCCAGTGAAGTGATTCCACCCCCTTATTTGGAACTTCTGAAATTATATATCAAGTTCCATGTCCAGTTTTGGCTTCCCCAGTGCTAAAGACAAGACAGTGACATACTGAAATGAGCCCACTGAAAGACAACATGATGACCAGGATCTTAGAGCACACATAAAAGAAGTGGCTGCAGAACTGGATTTGTTCTGCCTTAAAAGGAGAAACTAAGCAAAGATACTTCACCACAAGTATAGACTAACACCAGAGCAGAGGCTTAGAGGGGTTGTGAAATACCCATCCTTGAAAAGCAGTACTGCTCTCAGCAGGTGACCACTAGATGACCTCTAGAGCACCCTCCTAACTTACATTATTCCTCAATTCTGTGACATAGTAGAATAAAGCATAAAGTCTGCCTGCTGATGTTACATAAACACAATCCTAATTTTTTATATTCACTTGTACTGCATCCATCCTCTCAGCATACTTGATTAACTGTTGTACATTCAGTCTAAATAACCTGGCTAGAGCTTATTTAAACGACAGCTGCACTGCTGAATTATAAAACATTTTATGAATTACACAGAGAATATACCTGTTGAAAGCAGAGGGGAGGATAATTAGTATCTGTTGTTTGGATTTCCTTAAGTGCCAATATAGTTTTAGATTTTTCTCCGTTATTTTTTTAGAGCATGCTGCTTTATTGCCTTGCTGAATTTATTATTTACTATTGTTCCAATCTCTGGGTATCCAGTCTGAGATTGCTTTGCTTCACTAACACCACCGCTAAATAGAAGAAAAAGTTGTGCCTCATCCCATGTCAGGGATATACACTGACTCACGTAACAGATCTTCACCAATATGAAAGATAAGGGGAAATATTGCCCACAGATATTCCAGACTGACCAGCAGTATGCTGCAGACTTTGTCTCTTATGGGGAAAAATGGCACCTGGACAAGATGAATGCAAATCACTCTCACTGTTCACCGAGAAGCCTAAAGAAACAAGTGGTCACATCAAGGGGTTTGTTTCAGTGTCATAGGCTTGTTCATGCCCTCAGGTCACAGAACGTACAAAAGGAAAAGTTAAGGTACATACTGTTGGCAAATGCACAGCTGGCAGAGACCAATGTTTATACCAACATTATAAACAATTACTAGACACTATATATATGTATTTATGTAGGATATTACAGATTTATACCAGAAAAAGAAGAGGGGGAGGGGAAAAAAGCTGTGACCTTTCCAGCAGATTCTGCAACCTTCAGATGTACTGCTGAAACTTCCTGGCGCACAACTCTTCAGTTCTGGTACCTGTTAACACTTAATGATGAAATTTCCACAGAACGGTAGTGTCAGAATGCTATGACCTGGTAAGTGGTATCTTCAAGTTGATACATAAAAATCTCTTGAGAAAACAGTTAAAATTCTTTCAAATTTAACGCTGGCAAATTAGCCAGCCAAGGCACTTTATTTTATTCCCAGAAAGGCACAGTGAGATGTAATTAATGAAGAATTTTGATTCGTTTAATGAGAGCATTTTGAGACAGAAGAGCCCTTCTCAGCTTTTAGTGATCTTTCAGGATCTTATTACTTCTCAGAAGAAAAATGATTTTGCAATATCAGACCTTCTTCCATATAATGATAAGAAGTCAGTTCATAAACTAGCATTTAGTTTGAATTAAAAACCATCAGGAGTCTATACTATTGTCATAGTTTATAAAAATGGTAGGCAAGTACCATATGCTTACTAGCTCTAAGGCCTACACTACTATGCCACTGCAATTTATTACAGGGAAGAAAAATAGGCTATTTCCAACACAGTTAAAGCCATACAGACACTGAAGCTCCAAGGTACCATTCCTATGTCTCAGATTGAAACTGGAGTAATTACAGAGACCCACTTACTGGGGGAGGCACACTGCAAACTGGAAGGTGCTGCCCACTGAAAACCACTGAGCATCCTGGGACCTGCTGTGTGCTGCAGGCTGCGATGTGCTGGCCTGTGCAAAGTGGTATCCCATGAGGAGCCACCGTTGTCACTGTGTATGAGACAGGAACTGTGCCCTGATGGATCTGCAGCAAAAGGAAAAAAAAATTTCATAACTTACTGTGAACTCTTAACAGTGTTGTACAGCACGATGAGTAAGATAAACTTTTACCTACATGTGAGAAAAAGTATATATTCACCATGAAGGTGTGAAAGGAGGCACATGTTTGTAATTCCTGCGTATTAAAATCTTATTCTCAATGGAACATTACTTACTGATCAAGAGTTTCTGGGCAAGGCCAAAAGGAATCTCTCAGCTTAAAATGTTAAAACTTCACAGGCACCCTAGAGTCACTCAGAAGCACCTCAGACTCTATTAAGCCTGTCCCCTCACATACTAAGGTTGGTCCTTACAAAACAAGAAAGCAGTAACTCTCATATAAAAGCTAATCTGCCAAGTAGCTAAAGAATCTTCTCAACTTTGAAGGGACTGGTTCAATAATAATTCAGAGACTTTCAGTATCTATAAAGAACAAGAAAAGTATGTAGATTTTCTTTCTTCCAAAGAGACCAATCCCTTGATTCACTCTCAAACTCAGGCTAAGTTTCGTAATGGAGGCACAACAGAACAGCTACAGGAAAGCTAAAAGGAAAAGTAACCATGACTATGAGGCAGCAGACTCTAAGTATCAGTATCTAATTAGGAAACAGACCTATGTAACCCGATTTTCTAGCTAGTCATATTCCCTCGAATTTGGGTTCTTTTCTTTTCTTTTCTTCTCTTTTCTTCTCTTTTCTTCTCTTTTCTTCTCTTCTCTTTTCTTCTCTTTTCTTCTCTTCTCTTCTCTTTTCTTTTCTTCTCTTTTCTTTTCTTCTCTTTTCTTTTCTTCTCTTTTCTTTTCTTTTCTTTTCTTTTCTTTTCTTTTCTTTTCTTTTCTTTTCTTTTCTTTTCTTTTCTTTTCTTTTCTTTTCTTTTCTTTTCTTTTCTTTTCTTTCCTTTCCTTTCCTTTCCTTTTCTTTCCTTTTCTTTCCTTTTCTTTCCTCTTCTTTCCTCTTCTTTCCTTTTCTTTCCTTTTCTTTCCTTTTCTTTCCTTTTCTTTCCTTTTCTTTTTTTATTAACACTGAACAAGAAGTCTGGTGCTCCAATAAAACTGAAAAGGCTTAAGTGTCAGGAAGCATGGCAATTAATTATTTTAAGGAAGGTCCCTCCTCTTTCATATCTGCTAAAAAGGATCTGCTTAAAATGGAACAAGTAAGAACAGTTCATTAGGAAGGTAAGAATGAGTAAAGACAGCTAACCTCTGAACTGGGAGTATACAGTCAGACATAGCAGCCAAAACAAAACACAGATCACTGAACAGAAAATCTCAACCTGTCTATCAGTAATGACAGAAACAAGTCTCAGGAGAGACACTGAATTTGATCTGGTCCTGGCTCAGGTATAAAAGCTGGGAATACAGTGAAATGCTGTGTGTGATTCTGAAATATTTACCATTCAGAGTAATAATAAAAAATGACCTCTCAAAATGGTTATGTCCCTGAAGTATAAAACATCAACATGGAAGACCTCTCAGTTAGTTTACTGACATCTGACCAAAGATAGCACTTGGAAATTAGAGGCAACAGGATGGAATAACTATTTTTCCAGGCTTGTCATGATGTAATTTTGTAACATAAAGCAAGAGCACAATTTGAATTTTTGAGATGCTGCTGCAGTAAAATTGTTTATCAAAATATAAGGTTGCGAGATGCCTAGAATGGTGTTGGCTCCCACCCTTGCACTTGGTCCTGAATGCAAATACTTCATTACTGAGAAATGTTCTGCACACATAACACAACACACCAGTGGTGCCCAGGATGCACTGAATGTAAACCATTTTTTAAGCAGGGATGTTAGAGTTGCATTCTATGGATAACCGGTCCCACTTCCCAGTTCACGACTACATAGTAACTAATGTACTTGTGCTGCAGTCTGCTGATTTAACAAACAACAACCAAGGTTACCTCAATAGGAAAACTTTTACAGGTCCTCTATATCAGTTGCTGTTGCAGAGAGGAATTATTTATTTTCTGGACCAACCACATATCTGAATTTTTCATGTCATTTAAGGAGATGATTAGGCTTGGATGGCTAATTTGGTTATGCAACAATACTATCATGAGTTCTGCTCTCCTGTAGGCAGCTAGTTATAGGCATTTTGAGTTTTACTTCTAAATAATGTATTTTAACTATCTAAGGACTCCTAAGCTAAGGAGAGGTATTTCACATGAAATACAATACATTCTTAATTATCATATCACATATTTATCGTGTTAAATTAACTTCAGAGGCAACATAACTGCATTTCAAAGGTATTGGGCCAGAGGCCTATAGAACTATACCAATACATGCATTGACAAATTGTTAAATATCAATCTTATTTATTAAAAGTCTGGACTTTCTTTCTGATTTTTCCACTGCCTACTGCAGTGCTCCATAACCAGTAACATTTAACAGGAAAAAAGTTCTGTAAGAGGGCAAATGGCATTTAGTGTTATATGATTTTCATTGCAAACTAATTTGGGGAGGAGAGGATCTTAAAGATTTGGGGAAAAAAGCGCCGCCAAACAAACCAAAACCCACATCTTCAACAGCCTTCTGTTTGTACTCTAAAACTCTTACCTGATCATGAATGTCAACCATCACTGCATTTTGCTGTGGTGGGTGAGCGGCTGGATGCAACATACGAGGAGATACATTTGGCGGATGAAAGGCTCGGGGCTCTTCTATTGCTTGCTGCTGTCCATAGGAGAGATGGTGATAGTTTTCATCCTGGCTGATGGAATTATGTCTAGACAAACGATCTCTCCTTGTTCTCTGGCGTCGAACAGGAGGACTGGAAACGCATTAAAAGAATTAGAGATAACATAAGCGACACAAATCTTTCTTAATAACTAAAACCACAAGACAATCAAGTATCAATTTTTTTTACACTGGGAAGTTTTACTAAACAGGTTTGTTAGACTGAAATAAAACTTCTTTCTGACAAAAATGCTAAAAGCCTTAGAAATGACACTTTTTTCAACACAGTGCCTAACACTTTGTTCAGCATGCTTAACAGAGCATAGCTTAATACTGCAAAAGAAACCAAGAGAAGAACTCTTACATAAATAGTAACCTGTTAAAAAAAGGCACTTGGATTGCCATGCTCAAAAGTCAAGATAGCAAACTTCAAGAGATTTCCATGCATTTATTGCAGGTAAAAATCTTTCATTACATGATCACAGATTTTCCCAGGGTCCTCGCTCCAACCAGGTCACAGAATGGTTGCCTCACTCATTAGTGAGGCAGTCAAAGCAGTAGATTCCTCTGAAGAAATAAATGAATTTTTCAGTTCTAAATAACTGAGTGCGTCACAGAATTCTGTCCAGAAAATGCCAGGAAATTGTGACTGTGGTAATCTTTCTTTTCCACAGTGCAGAACTGTTGTGTAGATTGATTTAGACCAGAGCATCCACTTCTTTTGGGTAACTAATCTACAGGCATAGGATTTGATTATGTATTCTTATCTAACGGTTCTGAGCAGAGCTGCTATTATCTTGAGCCACGACTGCTGTAAATCAGAGACTAGCGGTTCAGGTTTAATACTCAGAAAATGAGGTACACACAGGTAAAAAATTCACTATTAGAAGTTTTAATTAAGTCACTTCTCTTTTATTTGTAAATGGAAAAAACTGAAAGCACAAAACCATCCCCCCAGTACTTTCAATACATGTCTTCCAATCTGCACAACACATAAATTGCAGGTCCCAGAAACAACAGCAAATTAAAGCTATATAGGACAAAATGGTTTCCCACTTATGGAACAGGCTGAATAAACCAAACTCTAGAGAGACAAGAAAGGTCTGTCACCATTAGAACATGTCTTCTCCAAGAGTGAAGAATTCTTCACTCTCACTATTTCCATTGCTATTACCAAACAAAAATCAAATGGTGGTCAATGGAGCCAAATCCAGCTCGCAGCCTGTCACAAGTGGTGTTCCTCAGAGCTTGGGGTTGGGACAATTTATATTCAACATCTTCACTGATGATCTTGATAAGGACATAGAGTGTATCATCAGTAAGTTTGCAGATGACACCAAGTTAAGCAGGAGTGTCATTCTGCATGAGGATAGGGAGGCTCTACAGACAGACTTGGATAGATTGGATCGGTGGGCCAACATCAACGGGATGAGCTTCAACAAGGCCAAGTGCCAGGTCCTGCACTTGGGCCACAACAAAACTATGCATCGCTACAGGCTTGAGGAAGTGTGGCTGGACAAGCAGCTGAACATGAGCCAGCAGTGTGCTTAGGTGGCCAAGAAAACCAATGGCATCCTGGTTTGTATTAGAAATACTGTGACCAGCGGAAGTAGCGATGTCATAGTCCCTCTCTGTACTCTGCATTGGTGAGGCCACACCTGGAGTGTTGTGTCCAGTTTTGGGCACCTCAATATGAGAGAGATATCAAGGTGCTGGAGTGAATGCAGAGGAGGGCAACGAAGCTGGTGAAGGGCCTCGAGAACAAATCCTATGAGGAGCAATTGAAGGAGCTGGGACTGTTTAGTTTGAGGAAGAGAAGGCTGAGGGGAGACCTCATCACTCTCTACAGCTACCTGAAAGGACATTGTAGAGAGGTTGGTGCTGGTCTCTTCTCACAGAAGATTAGTGACAGAACAAGAGGGAATGGCTTTGAACTCCAACAGGGGAGGTTTAGACTGGACATTAGGAAAAAAATTTTCAAAGAAAGAGCGGTCAGACAGTGGAACAGGCTGCCCAAGGGAGGTGGTGGCGTCACCATCCCTGGATGTGTTAAAGGGTCATTTAGATGAGATGTTGGGGGATACGGTGTAGGGGAGAACTTGTAGAGCAGAGTTGATGGTTGGACTCAATGATCCCAAGGATCTTTTCTAATCTGAATGAATCCGTGAAATAAACCTGAAACCTGTTGGCAAATCCCAGACATTCCTCAAATTGAATCCAACTCTGTGTTGTCTGAAACAGACATACTCTGGGGAAGGGGGTGCATACTACCAGCTATTCAGATGCTACTATGAGTATGTGATACAATGTCTCAAGCCACTATTGCTCTGCCCTACTATTATACATACAGATGTTATGCCATTATTGCCTGCCTTAGAACAGAAACAACACAGTCGGGCATAAACAATTCAGGAGGTTCCTGAACACACTGACAACTGTCTTCTCTAAGTGACAGAGGAGTCAACAAGGAGAGGTGCTATGCTGGATCTTGTTCTCACCAACAAGGAGGGGCTGGTGGGGAATGTGGAGCTCAAGGGCAGCCTTGGCTGCAGTGACCATGAAATGGTGGAGTTCAAGACCTTACAGCAGCAAAGAGGGTGCACAGCAAGCTCAATACCCTGAACTTCAGGAGAGCAAACTCTAGCCTCTTCAGGGATCTCCTTGGCAGAGTAGCATGGGATAAAGCTCTGGAGGGAAGAGGGGCCTGAGAAAGCTGGTTAATACTTAAGTATCACCTCCTCCAAGCTCCAGAGTGATGCATCCTGACAAAGAGGAAGTCACACAAGAAAACTAGGAGGCCTACATGGATGAAAAGGAGCTCCTGGACAAGCTCAGACACAAAAAGGGAAGCCTACAGAGGGTGATAGCAAGGACAGATAGCCTGGGAGGAACACAGAAAAACTGTCCCAAGCAGCCAGGGACCAGGTGAGGAAGGCCAAAGCCCTGATGGAATTAAATATGGCCAGGGACATCAAGGGCAACAAGAAAAGCTTCTATAGGTATATCAATGATAAAAGGAAGACGGGAAAATCTGGTCTCTCTCCAAAAGGAAACAGGGGAACTAGTTACCCAGTATATGCAGAAGGCTGAGGCCTCAGTCTTCAACTGCAAGTGCTCCAGCCACACCACCCAAGACAGAGAAGGCAATGGCAGGGTCTGTGAGAATGAATAACTGCCTACTTAGGAGGAAACCAGGTTTGAGACCATCTAAGGAACCTGAAGGTGCACAAGTTGATGGGACCTGATGAGACGCATCCACAGGTGTCGAGGGAACTAGCAGACGAACTGGCTAAGCCACTATCCACCATATTTGAGAAGTCATGGCAGTCCAGTAAAGTTCCTGCTGACTGAAAAAGGGGAAATATAACCCCCATTTTTCAAAAGGGAAAAAAGGAAGACCCAGGGAACTACAGGCCAGTCAGTCTCACCTCTGTTCCCAGCAAGATCATGGCACAGATCCCTCCTGGAAACTATGCTGGGTAACATGGAAAATAAGGAGGTGATTGGTGACAGCCAGCATGGCTTCACTAAGGGGACATCATGCCTGACAAATCTGGTGGCCTTCTACAATGAGGTTACAGCATTAGTGGATAAGGGAAGAGCAAGTGACACCATCTAGCTGGAATTGTGCAAAGCACTTGGTGCTGTCCCCTACAACATCCTTGTCTCTAAATTGGAAAGACATGGACTTGGCAGGTGAACCACTCAGTGGATAAGGAATTGGCTGACTAGTTGCACTCAAAGAGTTGCAGTCAACAGCTCCATGTCCAAGTGGGGAGCATCAATGAGTGGCATTCCTCAAAAGTCAGTACTGGGACCAGTGCTGTTTAATATCCTTGTTGGAGACAAGGAAAGTGCACCCTCTGCAATGTTTGCCAATGACACCAAGCCATGTGGTGCGGTCAACATGCTGGAGGGAAGGGATGGCATTCAGAGGGACATTGACAGGCTTGAGAGGTGAGCCCATGCAAACCTCATGATGTTCAACAAGGCCAAGTGCAAGGTCTTGCACATGGGTCAAGAAAATCCCATGCACACATACTGGCTGGGAGATGAGTGGATTGAGAGCAGACCTGTGGAGAAGAACCTGGGGGTATCAGTGGGTAGAAAAATGAGTATGAGCCAGCAATGTGTGCTTGCAGCCCAGAAAGCTAACTGTATCCTGGGCTGCACCAAGTGAAGCGTGGCCAGCAGGTCAAGAGAGGTAATTCTTCCTCTCTACTCTGCTTTCATGAGACCCCACCTGGAGTACTGTGTTCAGTTCTGGGCCCCCAACATGAAAAGGACATGGACTTGCTTGAGTACATCCAGAGAGGAGGGCCACAAAGATGATCACAGGGCTGGAGCACCTCCCATATGAGGACAGGCTGAGAGAGTTGGGATTGTTCAGCCTAAAGAAGGATCTGCAAAGCCCTTATAGTGGCCTAGTAAGTAAAGGGGGCTTAGAGTAAAGATGAGGAGGGACTGTTTTACCAGGGAGTGTAGTGGTAGGACAGGGTTAACAGTTGTAAACTGAAAGAGGGTAGATTTAGATTAGATACAAGGAATATTCTCTAATATGAAGGTGGAGTGTGGTGGTTTTTTTTTTTTTTTTTTAATTGATGGAGTTATCACTCTCCACAAAAGGCAAAACTGGATTTTTACTATGCAGAGTTAGAAAGAAACTATATTTTTCATTCAGCAAAATTCAGAGCATCCACATACCTCTGTATGGAAATGCCTTTGGAAATTAATTCAGAATAATTGTCAAGACATGGTTCTAAATTATTATTTAATGTCAATAATGAACTTGTGCTTGAAGTCTTTAAGAAATAGCCACAAAAATCCTCCTCTGGTTATACACAGTATAAACGTGGTAAATGCCCTGCCAAAACCAAGAGACAGGATGGTAGCAGTGAAAAAAATGAAGGAATTTCTATCCTTAGGTAGGAACAGCCATCAAAAGGTATCCATAACTACAGAGTTAATATCTGCATATCTTACTATTTTCTAACAAGGATGATTTCTTTGCAGTAACACGTTCTTAAATCCCATTAGTTCAGAATTACATCTAAGTCAAGGAAGAAAGGAAGCACAGATGAAACATAAGGCACAGTAATGGTTCAGATCTTTCCATCTCACAAGTACTGGTAAAGACAAATTGGAATGGCCGTCTGTTTCATATAGGCATGCATTATACTGCTATATTCACAATTTATCTGTACCATAAGTAGCTGGACAAAAATAACATCTTTCTGCAGATTCATACCAGAAGGATACATTTCTAAACACTATTTATTTGCTTACAATGAATCTGAAAAAAGCCCACAATGAATTAGGGCACTGTTATGCAAAGCAAAGTACAAAATCCCTGAAACAAAGACATAAGGTCTAAATAGTAACCCAGACAATGGAAAAAACCCAGATAATAAAAAAAACCCAGCACAGTCGGTGCTGAACAACAGGAGTGAACTGGCAGGACAAAAGAGTTAATGCTAATGATGGTGGGTCAGAATGATGTCCACGCTACATGCACTTCAGAGGTTTTGTTAGCACCTGCCCTATTATATTCTCTTGAGCTGAATGACCACTTGCAACCAGAGTGCACCTTTTGTCTTATCTTCATCTGAAAACCTCATTAATGCTGAGACTAGATGTGATGGGAAGAGAGAACACAAAGCAGGAAAACCAGGAAATTGGTTTCAAAAGCACATGCATAACCTCATCTAAAGCATTAACAACAGATGCACTCACAATGATCTTAAGGAATCAATCTTTGATCCCTGAGAGTGGTTATTAGTATGGCTCTAGAGCATTCTAAGACTCAAAAAGACTCCTGAAAAATAAGAGACATATATATGTGTTGTTCCCCCTAACAATCCTGTTCTAGGAGAGGAGACTGGGTGCAGCACTACTCTGGAACTGACCTAGAGCCAGCTCAAATGCAATAGTGAACCCAAGCTGAATGCCCTAACTCAAGTGCAGGGAAACAAAGTACTGACACATTCAGATGTTTCAGATTAGAGCAAAAGCAGGTGTTATTACTCAAGAGAAGGCGAGCTATCCTAGAAAGATTAATGCTTTTTGTCCACAGTCCCGCAGACAACCTAACAATTCCAGTCAGACTGAAGATGGCTCTGCACTGAGATGTCTCTCATTTGCAGCACAGTTTACTTGCAAGCCACAGGCCACTACCTCAATAACATTACACTGAATTTGAATGTCCTGACACTTGCCACATGCACATTAATCTCCTACACATTCCATTCTTCTCCTTCATCTGACAGTATACCCAAACTGTCTAGATGCAACTATCTGGTATTTAGCTTGTTAAGCACACTACTTACTCTGCAGATGTTAATGAACTTTGCAAGAAATCTGTGTAGGCTGGCTGGACACCAAACAAAAATGTCCAAATGCAGAATATTCTAGGCATCTCAGTTCAAACCATTTTAAGGTAAAAAAAAACCTTTGTGGACCAAGTGCCCCTGTAGCGCATCCCTGTACCAAAATGTACAAAAGACCTAACATTCTGTCTTCACAGTAACTCTGTAAGTTCACAATTCAACCTCCTTAATTTTGACAAGCTGTTTCGACAGCTGTGTATTTTGAATGCCACTGACTGAAAAGTTTTCAGATTTGTGGACTTGAAGCAAATATACAAAATCAGCACGTTTTAAAGTCTCTTGCTTCAGAACTGCCTCTGACTGATCATGGTTGACTTGGTTAAAAACACCACTTACATATTTCTTAAGTCTAATATTTTATATTCATGAAAAAGCATACACCTCAATTTTAGTACAAACCAAGCCACAATATTTCTCAGAAGCAAACAAATTCACCATGGGTTTTAACTTGCGTTAGATGACTCCACATTTTTGAGGCAGAGTATGAGGCAATGAAAGCCTGTGTTCTAGATAATTAGTTTAACTAGAATAGTAAAGAAGTCTGTGGTTTTATGCTTTCTTTTACTATCATCCATCTAGGCAACAGTTCAGCCTGGCCATCCCAATCTCTGCTCTTCCATGACCGTTGGAACTTCTTTCCAAATCTCTGCCCTGAGATGCTAATGAGCCACAAGCTGAAACCAACATGAAAAATCTAACTCCAATTACATGTGGATAATCCATCTCAGCAACCGCTCGACACCATGTTAACCTCCTCACTCCCCGCAGCCAGTACCCCTCATCTTTAATGAGATTTTTTTATGTATTAAAGTATTCTGATGAGATTTCTCCTTGCATTTTTCCAGCATAAAGTGAAGACTCATACGTAAAATGGTTACTGAGTACTCCTTTCCCCAAGTTGACTATTCATACATATTACAGGATGATGCACCAACCTGAACTACTTGCACTAACTTTTCAGTTACAACTGTAATAACTTACAGCTCAAAGGAAACATGAACATGTTTACCATGCGTGATCTAATCATTGCTGTATGAAACACACCTCCCTCGAGCTGAAATCAGGACAGCTTGCTTACCTCCTCCTGTTTCGTGCAGGTGTGTTGCATCGTTCCCCTGAGAGGTGGTGTTGGTTGGGCCGAGCCAAAGGAGGCTGCCTATTTGATGTCATCTCCCATGGTCGCATTGGTGGTGATGGGGCCGATGATGCTGCTGTATAGTCAAAGACTGAATGGGAAAGGCGCTGTCGCTTGGGACTAGGACTGTCTTCGCTCTATGCCAGTGCACAAAAACAAAACAAAACAAAACCAAAACCCACCTCCAGATAAGTGAATTACAATGTATTTCAGTATCACTTTGCAGCTAGCATTAGGAATGACTTACTGAAGACTGCACTAAAGCAACGTGAAATTGAACACCTGAAGTAGCTGACTATCTTCTACGTTTATAACACAGATTTGTGATGTCTCCCTAACCCCTAGAAGAATTACTGCTAAATTATATTTTAGCAGCATTAAAAGATAAAAATTCTAACACCCATGCAAAACCAAAACTATATCAGAAAAGAGAATAGCATGAAAAAAATAAGGCAAAACCTATTTTACATACCTCCTGCCCTAGCATTTATAGGCTACAGAAGCAAGAAAGGATGTATAAGCAGAGTCTTCACAACAATGGAATCTGTACTTGTGAGTAAGCAGATGTCACACAGAGCATGCGCTCCGCATTGCATCCCCTTCCTATCAGGTCTGTACTTACACAGCTAATCAGACATTTGCTCTGGACTGCAGCCTATTTTAATTCTGCTAGTTTAGCAGAGAGGTGCTTCATCCTTCTACTGATTGGTAAAATAATGGTCATTGAAAAGTACTTACACACAACCTGAAAAAAACCTAATCACCAACCTCTGGTTATGTCTGTGTACTTCACTAAAATTCTGCAAGGACTACATAGTGTGTAAAGTTTTCAGTGCTAGTGATATGAAGGCAATTCAACTCCAAGTAACGTTCTCCCAGTTGGTTCTGAACACAAGTAACTATCCCTCCCCTTCATATGTCCATGATACTTAATCATTCAACACAGCTGTCATTCCTCTCAGAAGTTCCCACGAGTCTCCGAATCCAGCAGTAAATGCAATAAACATCCCTCCCCTTCACCCCACTATTCTGTCAAAATTATAACATGTCATGCTGTTAACAAGAATAACAACTGAAAATATAGAAAAATACACATTCTACTCCAGAGCTCATCAACTGCACACAGAAAAACTAAAAGCAAGACATGAACTACCACACTGAATCCATCCTTGCGTCCACATACCACACAGATTTCTATGACAGAACATTCCTGGTGCAAGACAAATTGTAGTGTTATGCCACTCTCCAGCTTGTCACATTATCACTTCATTTTAGTCCACCACAGCATTATTTCAATTAACTGAAATGACCCCAAATTTGCATTTAATTGCACATGGTTGATGCAGAGAAAACTAAACTTGTCTGCAATGGTTTTGTATTCCTAAACTACCCCTTGCAGAGTCTGGTAATACACAGACTGTTAAAGGTCTTATTTCAGATTTACTTGTAGACTAGACTATGGACCTCTTCCGGTTCTTAGGTACCTGTCATTTTCTGAACACTATTTCTTCTTGGTGTGCAAGTGTTTAAGAGAAAAAAGGTATTTTTAATCTCTTTTGACATGTGTCCATTTTTACATTTCACTCCTTTCCAGCCACATGCTTTCAAAGACTTTAAACAAACAGCAGTTTTCCGCTACTACACCTAATCTCAAGTAGTCACTAGTAATGATTAAGGAACAGAAAAGGGACAAAACAAAAAAAAAAAACCAAACCCAAAACAAACAAACCCACCCCCCAAAACCCAACAAAACATAATTAAAGTAAATGGGGGTGTCCACTTTTAATTTAATGTTAGATGTAGAACTATTAGCATGGTTTCCTTAGGGAAACTGGCTGACAATGCATGTTATCTGCTTGTTGTTCAATCTCTTTTGAACTCCTTAATCAACTGAACTTGTATTTTTTAGAGGAAAAATAGGTCAAAAGACAGGTATGCAGGTTCAAGAAGGTAGATGTGCAGGCAACAGGTGACTCTTCCAGAAGGCAGCCTGCCCTCAGAAGCTCAGCATCAAAAAACTGGAAGAGATGCCTTAGAAGTGCCTTGAAAGCAAAGCTGCTATGAAAATATGCATTTTGTTAGATTTCAGGGAACCTTGCCACAGGACAAGTCATAAAGAAACTGTGTTACATTTGTTCTGCCATTCAGAGTTCTTATTTAATCTGTTTTAATGTTGTCATAGAACGAGCCTGGGGGAAGGATGATTTGTGGCCCAAGGTGGAGCTTTCAGGATGGGAGAATTTTTTACATCATGGTGACTGACTATTCAAAAACAGAGGTAACAAAAACACATGCAACTAAGGTATGCTGGAGTCCTGGGTGTGCAAAAGGAAAAGTCAGATGGAGGAAGTAAACAAGGGTTTAGTGAAGCTGGCAGAAAACAAAACGCTGATACAACTAAGTAACCACTGCTGTCCTGCTACATTCTACACATGCCTTTGGCTGGGGATCTCTTACTGCTATTGCCCTAATTTAAATGTGGCACCTTTCCCAAGCATGAACACAAATATATCCTGCCCTGCAGAAAGCAGTCTACTTTGGAAAAAGTTGACTGGTTTTCCTTTTATATGTGGAGTTCACCACTTCAAAGACAGTGGAGATGCAAACTGCTAAGCAGTTAGCCTTCATTATCACTCCAAATTACTAACTCATCGATTTCAAACTCCATAAGGAGTGCTAATTGCCCTCTGTACTAAGGAAGAGTATTTTCACTCAAAATTGTTTCCCACTAGAAAGAAAATAAAGATAAAAATATTTTTTTTGGAACTATAAGTATAGATTTAAAATGGCATTACGCCATTTTCTGTACTGAAAAAGAAGTAACTTGAAGGTAAACTAAACTTATTTGCAAACAGGTATCACAGAAAAACCTTAACACAAACCTAAACTCAAATAAGACTTGGTGTTTTATTTTAGTTTTTATTAAGAAAACAATTCTCATGTGATGATTGTAATATCAAGTAATACTATGAGCATGTGGGAAAGTACACGGACCTAATGACAGACACATATCCTGTGAAATTTAAGATTTTTTTTCATGTAATTTTCAACAAGCATGTGGAATAACTAGATATTGCCAGTATAATTTTGCAATCTACATTATCATTGGTCATTAAGTTAAATAGTTTATTTGTGGAATATGATACTTTCAGCAATGATGCTAGCTCCCAAATCTCCTTACTACTCTAGCTGCATCTTGCTAATACTAAAAAATATTCTCTGGGACTACTGCTGCTTTTTACAGTCGTCATTATTATGTATTTTTCTCCTGCCTAACAGGCAACAAGAACAGAACGTCTGACAGCTATCAAGAACATTGTATGTAGTTTTTAACTAACAAGGTAAAAGCACTACCTTATTTTAAATATTAATTCAACAAAAAGAGCATGATGAACAGAAGTACAGATTACTTCATATTTAAAGGAAACAATATCAGGACAAAGGCATCAGATTGTTACTAGTAACATAAGCAACCTGTGTCAGGACACTAAAACCTACAATTTTATCCCTAAAGTTGGCATTCCACAGACATCCCCAGCACAGTTTTGACTCATTCTCAGCTGTATACCCTGCAAATTCTCACAGTGTAATGGTAACAAAGGTGACTGGAGAGCACATTCGTTTGTACAACATCCTTTAAAGGAAACATACTACTAAAAATAGGTAAATTTGTAATTTTTTTTATACTTCTGTATATATTTCTTGTAGTAATTTTTTGTAAGTTTTATCTGAATGCTTTTCCATTTTTTGGGAAAACTGGATATTTTCACTAAGACAACACCCTTTTAATTATTTCTTTTCCATTCTTCTTTTTCAGTCAAATTATAAAGATTTGACTGAAACCATCACAGAAAGGAATTACTACCAAAACACTTGCTGCCAATATCTGAAAATCACTCTTCTCTCCAACCCTCTGCACATTCTCACTTAATGGTCCTAGGAAGTACAAAAAGAAACTACTCCATATTCCAATCTCAAATTTAGAGAATAAACTACATCTATCCTGCAGCCCATGAAGACCTTTATTTTATAAGTAAGCTAACACTGCAAGAGTATTTTCAGGCACAGACGCCTTCTTAGAAGGTTTTTACTCCCTAAGTACAATCTGATGTGTATACTCTATATAACCCTATCAGGCTGACTGGAAATCTGTAGCTGCATGTTCCCTTTTCATGAATGCATACTGAGAAGGCACTGATTTTTCCCGATACAAAAAGTAGAGAAAGTTAAATTTGAAAATGCTCATAAGTCATCTAATGCACTAGTAAACTGAGCATTTACATATCCTATCTGTGAAGGATCTACACACTCCAGTAACAGTGATCTGATTTACTTTCCAACATTTCTACCATTCTGATCATACCTACAGTAACAATAAATTCTTGGACTGAACACACAGTTCTGTCCAAACGCAGTGGTTCATTCATAGGCCAGGACTAAGCTCATTTAAATTACATTATATAGCTCAGGTCTACTAAGCTCTGAAAGAGCTGTGTCCCACAACCCTAGAACCAAAACAAAGTCACTTATGTGAGTGGATGGAGTCAAGAGTTGCAAATGGGGTCTTGTAAGTGTTATTCTCTTCCATCTCACACCCAGAAAGCAGCAGAGACAGTTTAACATAGGTGTGGGCATTACAAGGTAGACTATACAAGTCATTTCAGTGCAGAGCTGTATTTAACTTATCTGTTGCTCTTGGAATTACACTGTGCTGAGATTCCTTGTCATCGGTTGCCTCTGCACCACAGCATACCCTGGGTAATGTGTTTTTTTCCAATGTCTAACCATTCACCTATCTGTCATTACATAAAACAACAATGCCTGTCCTTTGCAAAACTTTATGAACCCATTGATTAGCTCCAATGGAAATCGGTCAATGTCAAAAAAAAAAAAATAAATTATTCTGATACCTTTTATGACAAAAAGGATCTGGTAAAGGGGGAAGAGAGAAGTGATTATTCCCACTCAGGAAAAGGTACACAAAACTCAACTGTTATGTACTGTAATAAACACATGCTTACTGACTAACAACAACAAAAAAAAGTACATGAAATTATAAACTAATCCAGGATGGGTATCAGAGACAGAGCTCTTGTCTTTATTGTAGTCTGTATATCAGAGAAGTGGGAGCACAAAT